ATACATGAGACCAAGCCATTGCCCATGGCATGGACATTGTAGTCTTATACCATGGGCAATTGCTTGGTAAGAATCGTCATAAAATAAACGCAAGTAGCAATTGCTCCAGTACCTCACTATCGTTAGTACAGGGTAAATCATTACTCTTGAAGATATCATTAGCCAAGGGTAACTCTCACAGTGATATAGATTATATTGTGATGTGTTAGGTGCCGACTAGCTGGGATCTAACAGCTCAGTATTAGAGTAGAATAGTATTAAGCAGGCTAAACAATACCATCACATACTTATCATTCCTCAAACACCACATACGCTGAAAACTCGGTTCTTATTGGCTAGAAAGCTTAGTCACGTGACATGTATTGAGGAACCTTTATAAAACGAGCTGTCTGAACCAATGAGCTGTCTGAACCATCTAGAGGCAGATAAATTATTCATCCAGCTCTCGTGAAGATAAAACTGTGCAGCCATTTCTTGATTTCTCGTGAAGATAAAACTGTGCAGCCATTTCATTAGTTTCGATAAGTTAACTTCTAGTTCTCTGAGCTGTTAGAGTTGTCGCTTGACCAACAAGTTATAACAGACTATCATCTGGATCGTCTGACTGTTGATAAGATTCCTATCAAGAAGAAGAGGATTTCCAGTGGTTACTACTTCTCAGATGACCGCTTGTGTCCACCTTGGTGCCAGTATGCTCGGTATCAGAATGTTAATCATCCACACCCAGTAAAACCGTTCTTCGTTTGCTTGTGCTGGTTGAATAAGAGTCACTGCACTTTTACCGATTGGGAGTGCAGGTTATTGTTCATCTATATAATATACTATTAAGTACTTAACAACTAAAGGTTTTTAACCTTCTTATTCAACTGCAGCTAGAAGGTTTTGAAGACGTTCTGATTTAGTTCTGGACACACAGCACGAGAATGTTGAGTATAGCTCTGTTTGTATCTGTATTAACAGTTACAGCTACAGTCAGTCAAGGTATGTAAGAACGGGGTAAGAACTAAGAACTTTTCTTTGTATATTTTTGTCTTTACAGAAGATAATTTTGAATCAGGAGAGGTATAATACTACATTTCTCCCTGCAGCTATCAAAGACTTATCAATTAACTGGGAGACGAGAGAGCTCGGATCCAGTTCTATGATAGAGCCTATCAGTGACACTTTAACAGTAGGATCCATTCTTCAGGTCAGGTAGGAAGAACGTTCAAATCATCAAATATCGTTCCATACCAAGTTAGAAAGTCAAAAATTAAACAAATTTATAAAGAATACGGTAACATTTAATTTCAATTTACAACTTCTTCATGATCTTGGTTTGCCATAGATATTACTTTCAAACATATAATTTATCTGCAGCGCTGAGTTCAATGCTAATAAACCAGCAGAGATCAAGTTACTAACAGAAAGTGATATTCCAGCCTTCTTCATAACAGTGGAGGTAGATGGGAATACTGTTACCTACGGTAATGATCGGACCCAGGTACGATATAGCATTCTCTGATTAATGTAAACAAATAACCTATCTTATACTCAGTTCGATTAGGTTGAGGTGTGCTTAATAGCAGCTCGGGTTTAACCTTTTTATGGTGATGAATTTGGATCAGGCTTTCCATAATATATTTGTTTGCTTCTTTGATAATGTTTTCCCTCATGAGCAACTCTCCCATTGAATTGATATTTTAAAGACCTTACAAAGATCTAATTTTAATTTTGTCTAGTTCACAAAGACCCTAACGAACCAACTATCAACTGGGGAGATATACGAATACTTCATTAAAGTAACCAGTGACGGATATGCCGCAACCTTTAACGGAGAACAGTTGGAACTTACTCTTTTCACAAAAACCAGTAAATTTATAGATAAACAATTTAAAAACTTAATTTGTAGAAAGAAAAATATGGTATACTATAAGTATAGTTGTTTTTAAGTAGTTGTTAAGTATAGTTGTTTTTAGACTGTTTTGTTTCGCCTAAATATGAGCCTAACTTAATTCTATTCAGGAGGTTCTCTCAAGATGATTTTTATATCGAAGATTTCAAGAGCCTAAACTGTGTATGATTCGCCTCTCCAAACAAATCTAAAGTTATAAGTATAGTTGACATCTTCAACCCTTAAATCGAAGAAAACTTAAGTTAACATTATTATTTTAACCAATATTTCAGATTGGCAGTGCATAGACAAAGATACAGACTATTACGGATCTGACATAACACACGTAACCTCAACTGGAATAGACGATTGTTACAAGAAGTGCAAAGATCTGGCTAATTGCCAATCTTTCGTGATCGTCTATGACGACAGTGTTATAGTGGAACTTCTAGACATACTCACACTGAACAAATGCATATTGAAGAGTAAACAATATGGTACAGGAGCTTCAACTTACGCGGGTCTAAAAGCAGGCAACATGGATTGTTTTATAGGTTCGTGCCCTTTGTCCGTGAAAACTGAAACTGAATACCAGAGTACCGATTACTGAATCAGGAAATTATTATAAAACAACTTCTGTGTGACTTAGGATCATGCTCATAGCCGAACATTGTTATTGCTAATCATCTTCATATCCACATTCCGTATTATATAATATTAAGATTAAACTGGCGTAATTCTCTATCCCAGATAACAGGAATGTAACTAAACTGCAAGGCGGAGGAGCTCTCTTCAACAAAGTGGAGTTGTCCCTTAACAAAGGTAATGTTCGAGGTGTTATTCTGATTGTTCTCGAATTATTTCATTCAAATTATTCTACGATTTATTTGGTAGATGTGATAAATACTAATCAAAGAGCATAGGGCATAGCATAGAAACGTTGTGTACGATTCCCGCACTATATTACGACGGTATATTGCAAAACTGCCGTCTGTTGCATGGAACCTTGTCGTAATATAGCGCGGTTACCTTGGTTACCGTACGCAACATATAGTTTATTTTTAAGATGAATATATCCCCCAATAAACCCTGCCCTACAAAGTAGAGGAGTATCTTATCTTAATTATCAAAACATTTAATATCCCTTTCAGTGGAGTATGTTTTCACACAGACGACAGGAAACATCGGCGAATGGGATGGAGGAGCAACATCTGGATATATTTATACAATGATCGGAAGTGCAGGTTAATATTATCTTCTTTTGGAATCCTCACAAATATTAAGAACGAAGCTATCTTTAATATAATAATATTTTGTAGCAACTAGTATTCTTCCAAGAGTTTTCATTATTCATAGGAACAAGTAATATTTTCATAAAAATGTTAAATAACAAACATCTTATTAAAAACATGTTAAATAACAAATATCTTATTAAAAACATGTTAAATAACAAACATCTCCTTCTTAAATCTCAGGCCAGACAGCAGAGCATGATTGTGTTGCTGACAGGAGTGTGGGTGTGACCAGCTCCTGTTCCATAACCGACTCTGTGAATGTCGGGAACGTCTTGGCTGTGAGGATTAGAAACAGTGGAGATGACGCATGGAATTTAGCTAAAATAGCAGTCAGCGTAGATGGAAAGTCGTGTTGGATCTACAAAGGGGAACCAGTAATTATCGATGACTTTCAAAATAAAACATTTGCTCTGGATAGCACGATATGTGTCAGCAAGCCAAGTATGCCTAAGATTCTATGATATATTTACAATATTATATAAAACATAAAATATACCCTTACTAAGTTCGAGAGAAATGTTCAGAAAGCAGTAATTATGGAACCTGCTTTCTGAACATATTAAACTAAAAAACTTTAAGACAGAATTGGTATTGCTTGAAAATAATAAGATCATTTTACAGTTAAAATATTTGATATTTGTTGTGTATTTCTTGCCGAGTTGACAGACGAAGAGAGGGACTTACGTTGTAGAAAGTAGTGGTGTCATGGTGGTAAGTGGTGTCATGGTGATCCAGGAGTAGCGTCTTATTGAGTGTTACTGCACACAAGCCTGACTCCACACTCATCAGTCATAAGGTATTGTAATACCAAAACTTACTAATCTTATGATAATTGAAGCATTTTATCCCCAAGCAGATTACTGATGATATTCTAATGTTTCTAATTCAATTTTTTTTCTAACCATTAAAAAGTTAAATAATCCAAAACCCTTCATAATGATCAACTGTCTCGCTCATAATTTAAACCTGCACTATTTACTATTTAGCTTGTTGTTATCATTACTAAAGAGTACTAAAGAGAAAGGTCAAAACCGGAGCCTAATAACTACTCATTTCTGCAGTGTTCTGTAACGAGACTGATGGTGACGCATCTTGTTTGATACAGAAGATTCCCTCCGAAGAGTGTTCAATAGAAGTTGTTATCGAAAACCCAAAGAAATACTAAATTAAGCATTTAAATGTAAAAACTTTATCATGAATTTGGCTTTTACCTTAACGGAATCTGAAATAAATATTTTTGAAGGGGAGATGTGATCTAGAATAAGAATGATTGATTTTATTTCTTTTTTTCACCGTTTTGACTGAATTTTTCCTGAATGACCATTTTACAAAGTCACTGAGGATGACACAAGACATGATTGAGGTACTCAAAGTTCTATTCCCAAAGAAAACTTTGATAAAAAATTAATTTTCTTATCTTAATGTTTCACAATGATGACAATTTTTCTTATAGTCAGTATTGCTATAAAATTATGATCAAAACCAAACGGTTCAAGACGAAATACGTAGATCTGGTGATGAAAGAGTAAATGTCAGAAGTTAAGGAAACAAATAAATACTATGACTCTAGACTTGGGCCCAATTCCCAAATAAGAGGACAACATTGAAGGCTAATCAGGAAGTGCCACTCCGATATACCGGGGCACAATGCATCAGGGTTCATCTGAACCACAATCATAATACAGCCAGTTTAACACGACAAAAAAAAAGAAAAGTCAGAACCACATCATACACACGCCATATCAGGACAAGAGTAAAATATAATAGATTAATTAAATAAATAAATCAATAAACTGATGCGGATTAATGTATTAATAAATGTATAAACGTACCTCTGAGACCGGTGATACTTGATAATGTGCCAGAGATCGTGTTCAGCGTAATCAAACAACAGCCACACTTTGTGGTCAGTGTGAGAGAGGAATACACGGTGAAGTTTGATCACATGAGGGTGGTCCAGCTCTCGGAGGATTGCAATCTCCCGACACGCAGACATTGAGATACCTGAGGGTAGATTGAATTGAGGGGCTGTACTGGGAGGGAGGGGTTGGAGAAGAACAGCGAGCATGGGATTGAGGGACTGTACTGGGAGCGAGGGGTTGGAGAGGAACAGTGAGCATGGGATTGAGGGGCTGTACTGGGAGCGAGGGGTTGGAGAGGAACAGCAAGCATGGGATTGAGGGGCTGTACTGGGAGTGAGGGGTATGAGAGGAACAGCGAGCATGGGATTGAGGGGCTGTACTGGGAGCGAGGGGTTGGAGAGGAACAGCGCGCATGGGATTGAGGGGCTGTACTGGGAGCGAGGGGTTGGAGAGGAACAGCGAGCATGGGATTGAGGGGCTGTACTGGGAGGGAGGGGTTGGAGAAGAACAGCGAGCATGGGATCGTGGGGATGTACTGGGAGGGAGGGGTTGGAGAAGAACATCAAGCATGGGATTGAGGGGCTGTACTGGGAGGGAGGGGTTGGAGAAGAACAGCGAGCATGGGATTGAGGGGATGTACTGGGAGCGAGGGGTTGGAGAAGAACATCAAGCATGGGATTGAGGGGCTGTACTGGGAGCGAGGGGTTGGAGAAGAACAGCAAGCATGGGATTGAGGGGCTGTACTGGGAGCGAGGGGTAGGAGAAGAACAGCGAGCATGGGATTGAGGGGATGTACTGGGAGGGAGGGGTTGGAGAGGAACAGCGAGCATGGGATTGAGGGGCTGTACTGGGAGCGAGGGGTTGGAGAGGAACAGTGAGCATGGGATTGAGGGGCTGTACTGGGAGCGAGGGGTTGGAGAGGAACAGCAAGCATGGGATTGAGGGGCTGTACTGGGAGGGAGGGGTTGGAGAAGAACAGCGAGCATGGGATTGAGGGGCTGTACTGGGAGGGAGGGGTTGGAGAGGAACAGCGAGCATGGGATTGAGGGGCTGTACTGGGAGGGAGGGGTTGGAGAAGAACAGCAAGCATGGGATTGAGGGGCTGTACTGGGAACGAGGGGTAGGAGAAGAACAGCGAGCATGGGATTGAGGGGCTGTACTGGGAGGGAGGTGTTGGAGAAGAACAGCGAGCATGGGATTGAGGGGCTGTACTGGGAGCGAGGGGTTGGAGAATAACAGCGAGCATGGGATTGAGGGGATGTACTGGGAGGGAGGGGTTGGAGAGGAACAGCGAGCATGGGATTGCGCAATGATATTGTATATTATAAAGGATTGAAGCTGGCAAGTAAATGACTCTATAATTTAAAGAGTAGATTAATTCCGTCCGGACTCCGGGAGTATTCATCAAATCTAAAAATACTGAATTTAATAACAATGCGACCTACAGAACAATGCAAACCTGTTCCCTCGATAAGTTTGAGAGCGTATACTTTGCCCACATCAGCATTAGCTCGCTTTGGCTTTGCCTTGTACACGTGACCGTACGTTCCACGACCTATTTTACAGCCCTCGAAATCAAATATATCTTCCACCTGCGCACAGATTATCAAAATTAGGGGTAGATAAGTGGATAAAATAATTCAAAAAGACAGTTTTAGTTTCTATGTAAAATTAAGATATTTATATTTGGTATGGTGAGGTCATTCTAATGACTAGTTAGTTTTAACTATACAGATAATATTATCTAGTTTTAATTACGAACACATTTTTAAACTTACCTTTTCCCGCTGCTTTGCAGTGTGGATCTTGAAATCTACGTCCATATCTGGAGTTCTTTAAATAAAGGTACCCAAACACACCAGTCAAACAAGCCCAGCTGGAAATGGGAGATTCAGATGTAGTGGTTTCTCTGTTTCTCTTTACATGGTCGCACTTAGCACATCACTTATAGGGTAGACTTTGTTAATGATGAAGTGTTGTATGAAATATTGGAATAAATGAGATGGAGAACTTCATGATTCGTGATAATTCAAGGATTGCAAATATTTTACAAAAATAAGAACCGTTTATAATTTTGTATCTAGAAATTACAGTAAAAGGTTAAGAACCTAAATAAAATGAAGACTAAGAACCAGGTGATAAGAAGACTACAGGATTCGCAAAATGTTTACAGTATTTAAAAACTAAAAATTATACAAAAAAGATCACATAAACAGACACACCTAGGTTTGAAGTTGAGTTTCAAAGCATTGCATCATAAAAAGCAATTGTATTATCATAAACTTAAAATAAATATCTAGCACTACCAAAATTTTCTTAAAGCAGTCAACTCACTATTAATAAACTTATAAAGCTCACTAACAATCCCGCTCACTTCTGCTCCAGTTCCATGAGAACACCTCCGCAATCCTTAGGATGGAGAAACATGACAGGTTTACCATGAGCCCCTATCTTAGTGTTCTCCCCTAACGTCCTAACCCCCTTCTCCCTAACCTCCCTCACTGCACTCTCTATATCATCCACTTCAATACACACGTGATGAATACCCCCGTCCTTGTTCTTCTTCAGGAAGCCAGCTATAGGGCTGTTCTCCCCCAGAGGGTAGAGTAGCTCTATCTTAGTGTTGGGGAGGTTAACAAACACCACGGTAACCCCGTGATCAGGCAGGTCCTCTGGTTCCGACACAGCAGCTTTCAACACGTCTCTGTAGAATGTTATTGATTTCTGGAGGTCAGGTACAGCTATTGCGGTGTGGTTCAGGACACCTAGGTTCCAGGCAGCAGCGGAGAGCTGCCGTGATGAGGCAACGCCGAGTGGGAGAGAGTTAGAGACTACAGGAGGGGTCCTGATGAGAGGGGTTCTGCGGCACAATGTGCGGGCCAAATTCTGCATACCTAGTGTTTAAGGGCTGTTAGTTCTGCATACCTAGTGTTTAAGTACTGTTAGTTCAACGTGACTTCAAAATAATACAAGGTATTGACTGCATTTTAGAGTCGTGCTGTTTCACTCAATAATATAATTATAGTTTCAGGATAGTTAAATATAGGATCAATAATAGCATTTTACTTTGTATTCGAGGAATCGGATCAAGAAAACCAACGAATAAATATCAATAAAATTATTGCAAGGCAAATATTTATATATTTTTACAATAGTACAAATACAAATTTCTAACAAGACACTGGGAAAACACATCTCTTCTAATTTTCTCACTTTCCTTCAGACTTATCAAATAGCTTAAATTTTATAGATACAATCTTGTGGAAGAACGTGGAAAAACAGAAATGACATAAAGAATCAAGTTTGCCGAATATTGTACTAAATTCTGCATGAGTTCAAGGAAAGTAAGCTATTTAATAAATTATAATAAATTATAATAATTGTAATAAGCTTTAAATATGGGTGTAGAAAGTATTTTCATGTTTAAAATCAATAGCTATGGTACTTTACAGCACTGCGTTACGTTTATATAAACCCTATCAAATCAGTTTTGCTTTAAATATGTGAGGAAACAAAGAATATCCGTGACTGTATACATGGCGATATTTCATTCTCATTTCCTAATAAACATGAGCTCAGTTCTTTCCGTGTAAATTCAAGTGAGCTTCTGGTCGTTTAGAAAAGCTTCTGGTCGAATGAAAATTGTCACGAAAATATTCGTTGCGCCCTCTAAAATGTGGACCATGGCCATATATATAATATAACAAACATAAATATTCGGTAAAACGGAATACATTTTGAAGAAAACATTTAAATCCCCAGAATAAATACTCATTAGAGTTTTGAATATATTTTATTGAACCATGTCGTATATAATATATGTAATAATAGTGCTGTATTTCACGAAGAAACTTTCATGCATAAAAATTCAAATTAATCTGTACATCATATAAATCACCTTCACAAACACAGGCCCTTAGCCAGTGTATCTAGTAACTCTCTAACACTACAATATCTGAACTTGGCCCTCAGCCAACTCTCTAACACTACATCTGAACTTGGCCCTCAGCCAACTCTCTAACACTACATCTGAACTTGGCCCTCAGCCAACTCTTTAACACTACTACATCTGAACTCTGAAACTAAACATTCTTCCTAACAATTTCTGAATAGTAATATTAAATTCCTTATAATTGTTATAAATAAGATAAAATCTGTCCATGCCAGGAGAGGCAATAACTACTCCCAAAACTGCCTGAATCTGTCTTTCTGAACTCCAAACTCTCTCGACCTCCTAACAACATGCGATATGTACACCTTACAAATTACTTCACCCCACATGACACATAAAATGAATAAAATCTGTGTGCCAACTGGCAGTGTGCCAACAAATCTATTTCTTCTGCTCCCTCCTCGAGTTACTCCTACACCCATCAGCACTCATGAGGTGCTGCCGCCACCCCTCCTCTCCATCCTTCACTGACACCATACACAGCGGACACAGCGTCTCCCCCTCCCCCGGCTGCACTGAACACGTGTGATCTGTCCCGGTCTCCACCGCTAGCTGGCAGTCTTTACAAGGCTGGAACTTCTCCTGGGCAGTGCACTCCGTCAGGAGGTGAGTGGTGGTGCCGGCTATCTCCACTACTTGTGAGCAGTGCGAGCACCTGCTCAACATCGGGCAGGATCTCCAGAAGTGAACGTCTAGAGTCTCAGCGTTGAACTTCTCATTGTGCTCGTTACAGAACATGCAGGTCTTGTCTAGTGTATCCTCTATTTCCGGCTCTCCGGGCTTCTCTTCTGCTATTGGAGCGGGTTTCCCCGGAGGAGCCTTCTTCTTCTTCTTCTTGATCCCACCAGGTTTCATTTTCATGTGTTCGTTACCTTCCTTCAACTCTTCCGGCACGTCTATGTTAGCTCCAGCAGCCATCTCCCGAAGTGAGGCTAGCTCGGCTTTCAGGGCGGCTACTTGAGCAGCTTTCTTGTCTTCAGCTGTCGGCTCGTTTGGCTTGTGGACAGGTTTCCCGTCTATCTCATCAAATGATTCGAATATCTTCTTCCAGATCAGCTGTTTCTTCCTCAAGATTGGTTCGTCCTTAGGTAGGTGCTTCCTAACAGGGTCCCCATACTGTTTGTACATGAGCAGGGTGATCTTTATAGCCGCATCCCTCACGTCCCGTGCAGTGTGAGTCAGAGCTGGGGCTACAAACTTCATCACCAGTTCAACCGTGTAGGAACTTTGTTCCAAGCCTGAGTTTTCAATCTGGTTTTCCAGTAGGAGCAACCTTGCAGTCAACACTTTAGGATTCTTCTCTTTACAGACAGACACCGTTATGTTCGGCACTGTTGGAGCTGCCATTAGGTGCTTAGTTTTGCTGATTTCTAAAAATGAGGACATGATCAATTCTCGGTTTCGAACGTTTTCCCCGACCCGCCTTAATAAGATAGGAAGGGTCTGATTACATAGCTCCGTTGTATGGCCCTTTGAAAGAACATCCCTTTTAAGCAATGACTTGAAAACATCCAGATTGACTGTCAAGGTGTTGTAGACAGGATCAGTGAAGGCTTGTTGAAAGACCTGGATGAGAGCTCTGACAGAGTATGTTGGAGAGGAGGTTTCAAGAGTGGACAGGGTCTCTGATATCTGGTTGATGCCCTTCTCTCGGAGTGCAAACTGTTTGCAGAACAGACACGCAACAGTAACCTGTCCGAACAGGTCCACTGCTTGGTTCAGATCATGAGCTACCTTCATACTGTGCTCGTCAGGACCGTCAGGGTCCCTTGGAGTCTCCACCTCCTCCTCCTCCAGCTCCTGTGCCGTCTTGTTAGCTAGAGTAGGGATGGGACGGTCCCCGCCCCGGGGTCTCACCGGCTGTTCTGGCACTTGATCTGGGGCGGCAATGTAACCACCGTCAGAGTGGAGAGAGGGAACTGCACTGGGGGGCTGCTGGTAAGGAGGCTGATTGTAGGTGGGAGGTGGAGCGGGGGAGGGGTCTGGTAAAGCTGGGAGTTGGTGGGGTGGAGACCTTACTAAGACGTGGGGGGTGTCGTCTGTTAACAGTCGGTCTGACTGAAGCAGACTCTGGATATTCAGCTGCTGAAACACAACCACTCTGATCTCATCCGCTTGAATCTTCTTCGCTTGAGCAAGATCATAGTTCTCTTCGGTTACAGCCGCCTTCTTCTCCTTCTCCAGCCTCCCCAGCTTCTCCCCCACTTTATACAAATCACCGATAGCCTGTTTCAAGCGCTTAGCAAAGTCATACTTCTCCTCCTCTATAGCTAGGTGTTTCTTCCTCTCTAACTGCTGGATCACCCTGGCAACCTCCGGATCCTGGTACACCCCAAAGGTGATGTCGTCTATCAGAGACATGTTTGAAGGCTTGTTTATATTCCCCATGACCACTGGATCAGTGTTCTCATTAGCTATGTTTATATCCCGGTAAGACTCTGGTTTATCCGGAGAGTTGGAGAGATACTCCCCGATAATGTTCACCGCCACGATCCCTACCTGGTTAAAAATGTTGTGTTTATTAACATGGTTCTTCTGACACACTAGCTTGACAAAGGTGCCGGTACAGTCCAGATGTACCGACTTTAACTCCCTTGCTTTAAACTGTGTCTTCTCGTTGCTCTCAAAGGAAATATACCCCAACCTATCAAAAGAAGCACTCTGATACCCCGCAGACCCTCCCCTCCTACACTCCCCCACATATAGCTCCACCTTCCTAGCTATCAGGAACTGGTGGGAGAGCAGCTGCAACTTCCTCACTCTGATGCTACTAGGGAGCTGAAGGACGAGCTCCTGGGGGAACACACAGAACCGCTCAGATCTCCAACCCTTAACAGAGGGACCGTGGTCCTCCAGGGCCGAGCTGCTGTAATCATCGTCACTACCTGTAGCGTAGACTACTTGGAATTTTATCTTCTGTGTCATCAACCTGTGTAGGTGAGGTTAGAGTACGTGGATAACCTGGTGAAAAATTGTTTTCCTTTCAATGTTTACTAAATTTGAGTGTTTTGTGGACTTTTTGAATTTAGAGTTAGATTTATTCCGTCTTATTTCTAACTTCTTCGTGACAAAAGTAAAACTCACAAATTTCAAACGAATAATTAATGTACATGGATAATATTAGCAAAGAATATAATCAGTTATTATCATACTTAAAATATAAGTACATTCATATATTATGAGCTTATACGCTAACCATTTACCAGGAAAACTATTCAATCAGATAAAAACACTTCACAGAATATACACTCGCAGGTTAAAAAGTAAAATAACTGAATAAAATTAAACATGAAACGCACATATCAGGCATACTTTAGGGTACACAATATTTATAAATAATATACTTAAAGATAATAAATGTTAACTCCTGATATGGACGGAATTTCTGACAACCATTTTAGGATGTACACCTTGTACAATGTACATTAGCGGGCGGGTGTATTACAAGAAAATAAAGATCTTTTACCTTAGCCACTTTGGAGTATTAACTAAAACAGTTAACTAGTGATCACATTAGTTAACGGCACAAACGATCTTTACACTGATGCCCTAGAGTAAAATGGTTTGTTTAATTGAAGAAAACGGTAGGATAGCCTTTATCCTAGCCTTATTTGACTGATAAACTAAACGGACGTTGTAAATAGCGTAAATTGTGCAAATTGTTGTGCACAATGTTCCAGTATGTAATGTCAATAATCAGTGTGCTTGATCTCATCCATACTTTAATATGTTACATGTTAAAAACTAGCGCAGTAAAATGAGAAAGTGATGACGTAAGAGCTGCGAGTTATTAACAGAATACAACACATACTACAACATTACATAATGATGATCTGTAATGTTGTAGTATGTGTTGTAATGTGCAACATTACAGATAATCATCATCTCTAAAGAAACATACATTAACAAAAAGTAAGATAAAGTTAAACATTAAAGATAAACTCTGAAAGTATACTGACTTATATTTCTGATAATAACCATTAATTGCTGCATACAAACCTTTGTTTGAAAAACGAAAAGCGAGAAAATTAACATGAATATATACAATCTTAGTTACAGAATACAGAGTTATTTACATGAAACAATAATCTGAATGTGGACTGTGTGCATTGTACAATATACATTGTACAATGTACAATATACAATGAATAATGTACATTGTACAGTGTATAGTGTGTACAAGGGATGAAGGAGTTGCCGTGAGGAGTCATCTAATAAATCTACAACACAATAAGAACAGTCGAGTCTAGTTATTAATACTCTCTCTCTCTCTCTCTCTCTCTCTCTCTTCTCTCTCTCTCTCTCTCTCTCTCTCTCTCTCTCTCTCTCTCTCTCTCTCTCTCTCTCTCTCTCTCTCTCTCTCTCTCTCTCTCTCTCTCTCTCTCTCTCTCTCTCTCTCTCTCTCTCTCTCTCTCTCTCTCTCTCTCTCTCTCTCTCTCTCTCTCTCTCTCTCTCTCTCTCTCTCTCTCTCTCTCTCTCTCTCTCTCTCTCTCTCTCTCTCTCTCTCTCTCTCTCTCTCTCTCTCTCTCTCTCTCTCTCTCTCTCTCTCTCTCTCTCTCTCTCTCTCTCTCTCTCTCTCTCTCTCTCTCTCTCTCTCTCTCTCTCTCTCTCTCTCTCTCTCTCTCTCTCTCTCTCTCTCTCTCTCTCTCTCTCTCTCTCTCTCTCTCTCTCTCTCTCTCTCTCTCTCTCTCTCTCTCTCTCTCTCTCTCTCTCTCTCTCTCTCTCTCTCTCTCTCTCTCTCTCTCTCTCTCTCTCTCTCTCTCTCTCTCTCTCTCTCTCTCTCTCTCTCTCTCTCTCTCTCTCTCTCTCTCTCTCTCTCTCTCTCTCTCTCTCTCTCTCTCTCTCTCTCTCTCTCTCTCTCTCTCTAGTTATTAATAGACGTCAGCCTGGAAATTTAGTTACAACAATCTCGGCTAGTTTAACTAATAGCCGACAAATGATTTTGTAATGAATTAGAAGAACAATGTCTAACTTCTGGATGATGAATATTATTATTACACACAGTTCTGATATCATACATATTTTAATTTCCATCCATATCATGTAAACTGTGACTAATGTGGAGTTAGACATTGAACACCCTATTTTGGTGCATCTGGTTTAAGTTGTAGGTTGTTATTGGTTGTAGTGGTTAGCAAGGTAAAACAGCGATATCGTTCACACACAATGTATTACTTTTTATATTTCTGATAGGGTCTGACTCAAAAGATGATTCATTAATTCTTGTTTTCTTTATTTTTTGAAGAGATGAATACATTTTGAGAACTCTTTGAAGCACATATACCCGTCATTATCAAAGTCGACCTGGGACATTATTTCGTCCATTTCTTCGTCTGAAACTTTCTGATCGCAATACAACGCCAACGATGTCTGCAATTCCTTTTTACTGATCTGCCTGTTTCCTGAAAATTATTCACTGTTATAATTATTTAAAAGAACATACAATGTTTGATAAACATTGCTGGATTTGATCCATCTCGAGGCAAATAAAGCTAGCATTATTATATTGAGATTATTCTCTTTACCATCCTCCTCCACTTACCATTGGCGTCCATAGCGTTAAATATCTTGTAAAGATCATCCCTTGCCTTGTTTGACTTGTGTAAACATGCCATCACCGTCAACATCTCGGGGAAGTCCAGGGCCCCATCTCCATCAGTATCAAACCTATCAACCAGTGCTTTCAGCTCCTCCCCACTGATCCTGTAGCCGGACTTATTGAATCCCTGACGAAGGTCCTCGTAGGAGAGCCGGCCGTCTTTGTTTCGATCAAACGCAACGAACAAGGCTGAGGTGGTCTGATCGGGGGCTGCCATGGCTAGAGGAGGGGTTATTTAGAGTAAAAACATTGGGTATTAAATATTAATGAATATCGCAAGTTACAACTTCTAATTTATCGTTATAATTTTATAACGTCAGACTGCTTTAAAAAAATAAACGTATTAGTTTCCCGAGACTAATTCTACAGAAGTAGACATTTGTAATAACATGATCAGTATCTACTGATTTCGTGATACTGTCTAGATACGAAATATAACTAGACCAATATTATAGATGGAGCCATGTCTGATAATGCGGTCTATACTTCGTAGACACTAGACACACACTTACCAGAGAACATTACCTTATATGGTAGTTTTACCATAGTTACACTACCATATAAGGTAATGTTCACTAACTAGACACAAACCAGATCAAGAGAGAGGGACAAGAAGTGAGGCGCCACACAATAACACACAGTTTATCTGCTGAACAAGACAAAGAACAATGACTACAACCTCCCAGCAACCCCCTCCCTGTTATCATAGCTTTTATCAAGATCCCAGCTGTATTCGCACGGGGGAGGGGGGGGGGGGGGATTATATCGTATCTAGTATCTTTAGACAGTAGACAAACTAGCTAGACATTCGTCTTACTAACTAGAACAAGAGAGGGGGGGGGGTCAGCACAAGTAAACTTCCTAAAAACAACGCCCAGTTTACCCGTCCAACACAAAGCACAATGACAATCTAACTAGTCACTACCTACACTATGTAAACAGATAACAACCTCTTAAATTAGTGATCTTAGCATTACGTTTGCTAGATTTTGGCTTTTTAGACCCCCACTTTTATCTCGACTCGGCTCCCCCAGCTATTTAAATCAAAATAGTGTAAACTTTTCCAAACACCCTTCTCTCCTAGGCTAGCTTACGTTATAATATGTGAACGATCCCTTAAAAGAAGAAGCCCAATTATATATCATGTTCTTACAGAGGAGGATGGATGGAGGGGGATTATATCGTGCTAATCTGGTACACGTACTTTAGTTCGACACGTACTTTAGTTAGTCGATCTTAAAGGTTTGTCGAACTAGAGTACGTGTCGAACTAGAGTACGTGTCGAACTATAGTACGTGTCGAACTAGAGCACGTGTTGAACTGGAGTAAGTGTCGAACTAGAGTAAACGTCTAACTAGAGTACGTGAATCCTGCTAGGACACTTTTAAAGGGGTAGTTGGTGCTGCTTATACGGATCTAGACACAACTATTAACTGGGGCTGAGGTAGGCATGGCCGAGAGGCGAGCTCTAATTGTATAACCATCAGGTACGTGTTTTAGCAACATCACATGCTGCTTTAGTAAACTAGATGTGAGTAGTAGTTACTCTAGCAACTCTAGTAGTATTGTTACCATGGTTACTCTAGTCTAACCGGCTGTACTTGGTTATGATGATGAGGGGAGTGTCACTGTTTTACATAATCAGGTCAGTAACAGCCCAGTCTAGTGCACGGGAACCTCTGAAGCACCCCTCTTGGTTACCATGGTTACTCTAGACCTCTCTTGGTGGGTTTTAACAGGGGTATTGTCTAAAGTTGGGGTGCTTTCAGGTTAAATGTTTTATGTATCAAATTGTACATACGTCATTATGTTGTATTACCATACTGCTCGCAACGTTCTATAATTACAATGACTAACGAATCGCTAATTAGCTCCCTGGTGGTCAGTACCAATTGTAATTATCTCCCTGGTGATTACTAATCACTGATTAGTGCCTTCACACTGCAGGGCTCCAAATGTTTTGGGTAAATGTTTTATGTATCAAATTTCAATCATGTTAGTATCACAATGCTATATTAAGGAAATTCATTAATAATATAATTACATTATTAATTTATATAACCTCCCTGATACCAATCAGGTAATTAAAGCCAATTGTCCTCACGCTGCAAAGCTTCTAAAGTCCTGATGCTCTTGGTAGCAATGATTTACATACATAATCTGCAAGAAGATGCAGTCGCATTTGGACAAGAGTCGCTGACTTTAAGATTTCCAAATTGGAGAATAGTCGGGTTCTGACTAGAATCCAGTTAAGGTTTTAAATAAATAAATATGTCTATGACAAGGTCACAAGGTGCAACGGTTTCGTCAGTGTCAAGGATTGTACTCGTTTTCAAGTTGCTTTGAGCGCTAGATTTCACTGCATGCTCTGGCAAGTAGCCAGATTACGTCATAATATCATACTCCTCATCTGAGAAGCCACTTACGATTTAAATTGCTTGGCGATAACATGACGCAACTCAACGTGATACCAATACGTGTATAATCGTTGTGTGATACGAAATCAAGGGTTCAACAGAATTCTGTAGCATGAGTGATGAGCTAGGATCAGGGGATGGATTGTAACACCATCAGGGACATATGAGGCGTCCTGTACAGCGAATAAGATGGTTCTGACCATTTGAGCTTTTCATTAGACATTATGCAGTTATTCGCCATCGAGTCTAAGTGATTATACATGTCTCAATTGTAATGCTGTAATTTAACACTGAAATGTTCAGACTGTAAGACTTGTGCGATGTATTTTAGGGGATTATGGTCGGCACATAGTGGTGCTAACAAAACATGTCGATCCTGATCAAAACGGTCAAGAGTTGGATGAACGTTAAAAGGAGCTCATTGGTTACCTCTGCATTTTTCAGAATATGAAACCAATAATTGATATGCACTGGATCTAATCTAATGATAGATTCAACGATCGATCGGTAATGCATTATCTATTTATTAGATCGATTTATTTGATAATAGCTCCTAGAGCGCGAAGTAGTCCATAATATATGCAATGTCTAAACGGCCGCCACCGCGCGCGCTCGCAATAAATGAAGACCCTTCTCTCGTTTAGTGTGACCGAATGTGAGGCGTAAAACGTGCTATTTTCTTAACTAACATAATAAAAGAAATTATAAGATTTTGTAAAATGTAAGATTTCGAGCGTTAAATTTCATTTCAGTGAATAACTGTTTATTTCAAACAGTTGAGGACTAATTACCAGGTGTTTGGTAGCCATGGAAATTATAGAACGCTAACATCGAGCAGAATATTCCTTTAATAATAAATATCTACCAAGACATGCTGTCTCCACGACAACCATACCACTAGTTTACTAACAAGGATATCACTAGACCAAATATCATACCATTAAAGTGCGCATATTATGTATAATATGTATAATGATTTGAATTAATCAGACTACAGGGCTAAAAACACCATGATCCCTACCTAACAGAGACAGTAACAGTTGAGACAATTGGGACACCCTAGTAAGACAACCACTCCGGAATTGAGGACACATAAAATGTGGCTGTGAAATGGGATATTCAATATTCGATACATAATATGTATGGCGAGGAACAGGACAATACACGCTGCATAGTGCATACTGAGTACTGACGAACTTATTTTGTTTAGCAAATGAACTTGAAGACCACATCCCAATATAAACCGTGCTCCCAACGACACTAAAATACAACGACACTAAAATACAACGACACTAAAATACAACGACACTAAAATACAACGACACTGAAATACAACGACACTGAAATACAACGACACACAACAGAAATTAGGACACCCTACCAGAACATAAGACAGAAACAAACAACAATAGCAGAACAGGAAGATACGGTACAGAATAAGGGAGCGTGCTATGAGGAAACGTTAAGATATTAGCTAGAGAGAGAGAGAGAGAGAGGTTTATAGTTTAATATATAGTGCTCCCCATTGCATCTGGTCCGAGTCTGTTAGCACAGATCACCTGGGAGTGGTAACACCATAAAACCGTTAATTGCCTGTCAGTGCTATATCACTGGGGGGTCGGTTGCTGTGGTGGCGAGAGGATGCATTTGCTGGGTGGTGCTTGGTGATGCTGTCTTGTGGCAGCGTCATCTGTGTGTCACCATATTGTCCAAGTCTTGGTTGCCCTGTGTAATTGAGCATTTGCTTGGTGATCGTGTCTCAAACATGATCACTTACGGTTCAATTTTGATTCCCTAAGGGCTTCAGAAGCTCTGCATGCTTTTATTTTACGTATCGAACCTAACCACCAGCATGCTGGTGTCCGGACGGAGGGCTTACATTTTGATGTCGGTGCTGCCTCTGGATCGGGTGCGAAGGTCCTAGTAAGGGGAAAAGTGGTCGATTTAAGGGTTCCGTTGGATTTGAATGTTCACAAGGATTTCTCAACGGAATATGGTAGTTAGGACCCCTACGAACATAATTAGACTTGTTGCCAATTTTGTATCTCAACAGAAACACCACTTTTACCACTTTTTACCACCTTGACCCCCTTC